CTTCTTCTTCTTCTTCTTCTTCTTCTTCTTCTTCTTCTTCTTCTTCTTCTTCTCAGGAGCTTACGCATGAGATGGCAAAGTGCCTATCCGCTATACCAAAAACGCCGGCCAATTAAGTTTGGAGACCCCTGGGACGTTAAAGATCAAAACAGTCACTTATTGTTTACTTTCATGATGGCGTTTTTAAAATGTTATATTGATTATAACAGTATGAGTGGCGTTTATAGATCTAATTTAAGCTGTTCCACGGTATTTGCCCTGTTTAATCGCCTCAGATCTTAGCAGACAGGTCTAAAAGTTTGATGACCAACAGAATCGAAAAGCCAATTCATAAAGGTCACTGCAAACTAAGGTTCTGACCCGTTTTCTTTGATGTACGCCTAAAGTGGGTAAAAACCCAGCACATACCAAACAAATAAAACATTTGACACATGTTCCTTAACAACATACACCTAAAAAATTAGAAGTTGACATATTTTCCTCAACACCAAACTTTAATGTTCGCCTGAAACTCGATTCAAAAGACCGAATGATTAATTTTCGAGATTCACGAGGAGCACGTGGAGACGTCAAGACAGCCGGAGATGAAATCTACATGGCTCAAAATATGTGATTGGAAAACAAGGTTCCGTAAAGTGGGGTAACTTAGGCACTCCGTGGAGACTAAGTCAGGTAACTGGGAAAAATGTCCTGATAGATCTTATTTTAGGATAATTTTTTCTATGTATAAAAAGTGATTTTTAGTAATTTCCAATGCATTATCTAAAAGTGAAATTAATGTGTGGTGTATTTACATTAAAATATCTCAATCTAAACCATTTTTGAGGACCGACCTGAGGCTTGTTTTAAGATGGCTATCGTCTGCATTTGAAATTGACCCCTGCAGAATTCCTTCAAACTTTGGTGAGTACCTCCTAATCTATAGCATTTAAAATGTTTTAAGGAGAGTATAAGGCTCTTAGTAAGTCAGATGAGCTATGTAATGCATGTATTTGAAAGAAAATACGTAAAGTAAGGTTTTGACAGGGGGTGCCTTAGTCACCGCGGTGTCCATTGACATGGTCGGTGTGGCAAAGGCATCCTGAGCTAATGACTGTATCTAGGCTCATTTATTTATATATTTTTTCCCCCTAGATCTACATACAATTTCTAATCTTGTAGTGATATACCTTCTCTTTCAAAATATCAGGGTCGCAACATGTGGGTTTATTTGTCAGAATTGAAAGCGGGCCGTTTATATTATGTATTTTTTAAATTATGAACGCATGATTTCCCATAGTCCTTTTTGGTTACGGTACCGGTACTTGTTCAACCATTAGGAACCATTGATCGTACTGTCACATTTTAAGACATGAAAGCAGTGACCTGACAAATTGCAATGAATATTGTTTAAAAATATTTTTTAACTTACAGTATCACTAATAATTTTTATGTTTTTTTTTTTTCAGTTGTCTTTTTTTTCAGATTGCTTTAACACAATACATAGACAACATGTTACGAAGCTACACAAGCCGAAGCCTGGGGCACGAGTATACGACAAAACGTCTGATGATTTACGCCAAAAGGCACAGGACGAACGTGCTGCCGCTAGTTCTCAGAAGAGCGTGTGCACAAGGTACAGAATAGACACTAAGTCTTTCAAAGATTTGGCACTGAACCCCGAGTCGACCATCTCCTGGAAGCCAGATTGTTCTGTCACACCACCAGGACACTGCCAGCGTAGAGCGTCTCCTTTTCATTTTAGAAAAGGGTTTCCATACGACATCTTAGACGTGCGCATAATCGTCAGAAGAATTCTTGACAAAGACCGTGTTACAACTTCGAGGATCAAAGATGCCAAGGGATGACAGGGTAAATTATTTTATAAGCAGCTACCAAACCAGGATCAAAACTTGATGGCAGGATTTTGCAAATGATACTTTACTTTTACTTTACTTTTCCCATCCAGCGGCCATTTGGGTTCTAGCCCTTCGATCTGTAGATATGGCAAAAAATTTGAAGGTTTTAACCTTTTCGCAACACGCCGCTCCACGTTGGCGCGCTGTTTTTATATTCCCTCGGAACGTACCGCTCCTCTTTGGCGCGCGCTATTTCACAACCTTTCACGACGGGGCGCGCCACCCTGGATTCCTGCACTTGTGCATGCAACAAAAAATTTGCCTTTTCGTTTTTCACTGTCAAAATTTCAAAAAGTATTCAGATACCATTTTGGAATTGTTTCTTGCTGTCAGAAGTTGAGTGGCTTGAACACTTTTCGATTTACCGGCGAATTTTTTAGGTCACTTTCCAGGGCGTTCCCGAGACGTTTTTCATACGGTACGCTGAACGTTGTGGCGCTTAGACCGACGCTGAGAAGACTCACTCTCAAAGGAGCCACGGATTCTATCTACATAGAATTGACCGACGATGAAGATGATTTTCAAAGGATGAGGATACTATGCCGGTTGACTATAAAGCATAACCGTTAAATTTTTGCCTAAGAAGCAACCAGTAGTGAATCGAGAATGCTTGAGATTAGAATGCATAGACGCTGATGATGAGATGATGGACGATAGGACTGACCGGTTGTTGAAATTACGATATGGCGACGGATATGCTGTAGAGCTGTAAAGGAGAGTATAGAAAGGCAAAAAATGAATAAGAATAAGTGGAGGGATTAGAAGATAAAATACTGTGGGCTCGAAACACAAACAACTTTCCCCGCGCTTCTCAGTTTACTGGTACTTGGATTCGGTGGAATCAAAATCTCACAACCCAAACAACCGTTTGCATCAGATATTTACTGGCTGATCATTACAGGGGCGTTTATAAACTTTTATAAAACTAAAACAAAACGACAAGATGAGAAAGGGATCAATGGCAAAGATATGCAAACCTTGGCAAGTCGTTTACTTTGCAAAACCAAGAAACCAGATAATCTTGTAGAAATTGAATGATTTTTTGTTATCTATTTTCTTTCACATGGGTGTACTCAAGATACTGACACTCGGCAACCACTGACCTGCAAGCCCATGCTTGCACTCATCTGTCTGCTGAATAATGATGTATACGCAAAGAAAAGGTTTCTTGACAGTTCTCTCTTCTTGTTTCATATGTCAAACAACATAGCACAAGTGGACTACGGAGAGCTTTTTCATGACATAAAAGATACAGCATTTGATTTATACCGAATCTACAAGAGAAAGTTTTTTTTTAAACTTGTGAAAAGCATAACAGGACTTTGTATTGACGAAACCATGGTATATTTCAAAGGGATTCAAACTTAGTGAAGTTTGCGAGAGAAAATGAGGGTACGTCTCTGTGATATACTGTGTCAAAAGACGAATCCACGTTTCTCTTTGCTAAAACTCCCCACAAAAAAACAAAAAACAAAAGAAAGAACCACTTTGGAATGGTTTAGGTTTGAAGGCTCGAGGGAAGCGGAAACTTAGCAGGTTTTGAAAGTGTATAAATCAGCCCTGTTTTTGAAAAGGTGAATGTGTTTTAACTCAGGACCCACTCAACATACTACCCAACGCTACAAACAGCACGGAGGTTGAGTGTGATAATGGCATCTTAAACATGAAAGGGTATTTATTTGCATTTTTTGTGCTATAAAATCGAAACTTGAATCTGCTTGTGCCGTCTTGAGTGAGAGAAACGAAAAGCTGAAGAGGCCAACGGGCTTGGCTGCAATTGTAATATCATGAGGAACAAACAAAATAACACGCTTTCTAAATGGCCACGGAAACTTAACAGAATATTGTTTTCCTCCTAGACTACAGAGATTTAGACAGATTTGCTTTCTCGTCGGATCGCCTGATTTTGTGAGTCTTGAAAGTGGAACTATCATTGGGACAAGTGCAGGTAACCAAAAGGACTTAGGAAAATGGCTCTTTTTCTCCAAACCTCGATCTGGCAGACATTGCAATTAGACTCCATTATTACTGGCTCCCTTCCGAATTGGAAAAACTTCTTGTACCCTAAGTAGAGTCTTTGAAGTGCCACCTGAATACCTTACTTTGAATCAGACTATAGCACTGAAGGCTTTCCAGTCTAATCAGTAACACTATTTGTTCTTCAATTGTTTTTGTTTTGTTCTGTTCCCATTTCTTCTCTCCTACACTGATCTTTGCAAAATGGTATTTTCAAGACCAGACTTGTTTGTAACTTTACCATTCCCGTTTCCTTTTCTTTGCTGTAGTTTGAAGATCTTCATAGGGCTTACATTTGGTTGAATGGTTAGGGAGAAGCTATACTAAAGAAAACACAGATGTCAGGAACATGTAGGAAAATACAGGATTGACAAACCA